GGTGGGGGGTGGTCTTGATGGTTTAATGTCTTAAAGGTCAATGGGTTTGAGGGGAGGGATCCGTAATCATCTTAAGGGAGTGGACACTTATCTCGGGAGCCAGAGAGAAAACCTTTCTCAGGTGCAGGAACTTGCTGAGCTCCAAGGGAGAAAGGAGTGGGAGAAGGGATTTGAGTGTGCTGCATTCTCAACCAGTATGTTTACCCTAAGTTCCGATCAAGTGTTGTTTTGTGCATAGGAGGCAAAGTCCTGGTCTTGGTCCCCGACACCCCTCTAATTTTTACCTCAAGCAAATACAGGTTTTCTTATTTGAAATTTCCGAAATCTAGGAGTTACAGTGATAATTAAATTTTAGGACATTGGCTAGTGATAGGAATACTGGGAATCTAGAGGTATGTGTTATTTTCTTGGAGTACTAATGTAATGAAATAATGTGACCTCCTTGAATGATACTGCAAAATACCCTTGTTGCTGCAAATTACTTGAGTAGGTAATTTATTAGGATTTGTTTGGTGTTACGTATTCCAGCAAGCGGTACATTTTAAAAGTCCTAATGAGTTATTTTCTTCTTAAGGATCCAGTGGAATTGTATGACATTTTTAACCTGTCTGCTAAGATCAAAGATACAAAATTTTGGTGGCGTGATCATGCAAGAAAAACTGTTACTATTAATCACAAAAGTTTCCTTAAAGAGAAGTTCTGAATTTTACTTAAGGGAAACTGAGGCCTTGGAGAGGTCTTAAGATATGTGGCCAAGACATGGGTGATTTGGTGATGGGAAACCAAAGGGGATTGCAACTGGGATGGAAAAATGCACAAAAATATGTAAAAAAAAAACTATGGGGAAAAAAAAAAAAACTCAGTTAAAAAAACAAAAGATATGTGGCCAGGAGCTCATAGTTAATGGCAGAGGTAAATTGTGTCTTCATCTCCTGACTTTGAGTATAATCTTTCTCGAGTAAACTTAATATGTATATTTATAATAATAAAAAAAACTTTTCAAAGACTTTTGTCTTTTACTCTGCTTTAAGTCTGTGGACCCCAAATGAAACTGAATTTGTACGATTATATCATTTTTATAATTTTGTGAATGTTTTCTAAAACTGGGGCTGTGGTTTCTTTTTTAAAAGCATTTATTGTTTTCAGGTTCTCATTTCAGGGAAATGTTAAAATGAAGGGGGAAATTACACTTTCAGTTAAAATCTTTACAAAGAATTTATGTATATTTTCAGAAATAACCAGATATATATTTTTTTGAAAAACATATCACCTCTTTAGTGAAGCTAATAATGTACATTTTATGTCTCACTTTTCTCAAGATTATTATTTGCTTTCTCAGATCATCTAGTAATTTATACATCTAACTTATCTAAAGTCTTGTTTTGTTGATTTTTTTTTTTTTTGCTTCCCTCCCTCATAGATCTTGAGCCAGATGATTGTGCATCCATTTACATCTTTAATGTAGATCCACCTCCATCTACTTTAAACTCACCACTTTGCTTACCACATCATGGATTACCGTCTCACTCTTCTGTTTTATCACCATCGTTTCAGCTCCAAGGTCACAAAAACTATGAAGGAACTTGTGAGATTCCTGAATCTAAATATAGCCCATTAGGTGGTCCCAAACCATTTGAGTGCCCGAGTATTCAAATTACATCCATCTCTCCTAACTGTCATCAAGAAATAGATGCTCAAGAAGATGACCTACACATAAATGATCCAGAAAGGGAATACTTGGAAAGGCCTTCTAGAGATCATCTCTATCTTCCTCTTGAGCCATCCTACCGGGATTCTTCCCTTAGTCCTAGTCCTGCCAGCAGCATCTCTTCAAGGAGTTGGTTCTCAGATGCGTCTTCTTGTGAATCTCTTTCACATATTTATGATGATGTGGATTCAGAGTTGAATGAAGCTGCTGCCCGATTTACTCTTGGATCCCCTCTGACTTCTCCTGGTGGCTCTCCAGGAGGCTGCCCTGGAGAAGAATCATGGCACCAGCAGTATGGACTTGGACACTCCTTGTCACCCAGGCAATCTCCTTGCCACTCTCCTAGATCTAGTGTCACTGATGAAAATTGGCTGAGCCCAAGGCCAGCCTCAGGACCTTCATCCAGGCCTACTTCCCCTTGTGGGAAACGGCGGCACTCTAGTGCTGATGTTTGTTATGCTGGTTCCCTTTCACCCCATCACTCACCTGTTCCTTCTCCTGGTCATTCCCCTAGGGGAAGTATAACAGAAGATACCTGGCTCAATGCTTCTGTCCAGGGTGGATCAGGCCTTGGCCCTGCACTTTTTCCATTTCAGTACTGTGTAGAGACTGACATCCCTCTGAAAACAAGGAAGACTTCTGAAGATCAAGCTACCGTACTACCAGGAAAAATAGAGCTCTGTTCAGATGACCAAGGGAATTTATCACCATCCCGGGAAACTTCAATAGATGATGGCCTTGGATCTCAGTATCCTTTAAAGAAAGATTCATGTGGCGACCAATTTCTTTCAGTTCCTTCACCCTTTACCTGGAGCAAACCAAAGCCTGGTCACACCCCTATATTTCGGTGAGTTGATGGAATGACTGCTGGTCATTTTTCATGCTTATGGGTTGTCATTGGCATTTAATTTCACCATCTACATAGAATAGTTTTGTCTATTTCTTTCTCTTCCTTTTTTTGGTCTCTTCCATACAAATAAGTCCATATTTATTTTCTCTGAGTCTTAAAAGTTTCTTTAGGTAGGGTAATGTTAAAAATTTTAAAGTATATACGTAAGTAAGTATAGATGACAATAATTGCCTTTCAAGGATCTGTGAAGAAATTTTCTTGACTAAAAAACCTTCCTATGCAGGGCCTTCCTGGTAGCCTATTAGCCTATGGCTTGGGTCATGGAGCTGACCCACACACGGTACAGCAGACCTCTTCTGTCTCACCTGCTGCTTCCCTTAGCAGTGTATTACAGTCAATCAGCCTGTTTTGCTCCCCACTCTGTCTCTGATGAATCCTCTCACCCCTGCACCTCTAGCCTGTACCCCAGTAAGCATAAATAAATAAATCTTTAAAAAAACAATTAAGGGATAGATCTTTTGTTTTATATAGTAGCTCAGTATATAAAAGAAGTTTGCCTTTTCTATTTATGGAGTTTCTTTTTCATAATTTTTTTCTTTTGACTTTATAAGTGATTTTTTTTTGTTATAGAGGAATTTTAAAATTTTATGTATTCAGTTTGTCTCTTTTATGACTTGGGTTTATATTGGAAAGTCTTCTCTTTCTCTTTAACTAATTAAAACTAAACAAAAACCTAATCTTCATATATATATTTTTAATAATGCTTTAAAATACTTTATAATGTGTGTATATGATATAGTATTTCCATTTACATGTGTATATGTGTAGCTGTATTTATATTTGTATATATTTTTAAAAGATTTATTTATTTATGCAGGGGTATAGGCCAGAGGTACAGGGGTGGTGAGTGGATTCACCAGAGACAGAGTGGGGAGCAGAACAGGCAGATTGACAAAGTACGCTGCTCCCCTCAGCAGTGGGCGGGTCAGGAGAGGTCTGCTGCGCCATGTGGGTCATCTCCAGGGCTAGAGATTGAACTCACACTGAAGTGACTGAAGCAAACTTGCAGTGCTGAGCTTTAGCTCGCTGCACCACCAGGAGGGCCTGTGTATATATATTTTTGAATCTCCAGTCCAGCTAAGGACTAGAGTGAAGAATAGTATAACAATAGTATATACATTAGAATCAATCTAGTGTATAACTAATTAGAAAAGATAGGGTTAATTATGTATTAAATTACTAATTTAATTTAATGTATTAAACTAAATCAAATTTTTCTTTAATACTTTTTCATTTCTTTGAATGTTTATTTCTGGATCCAGATCTTTAGAAAAATATATTGTATAATTATGGTATTGAAAACATCTCTGAGCCTGTCATCTATTTCTGAAAATTATCTTACTGTTTTTGTTAGTTTGCTTAAAGTCCACAAAACAAGTTACAGTAACAAGCTAAAGATGATGAAGTTGAGTTGTTTTAAACTAACAAAAATTAATATTTTGAACTTTACAATAGCTAGTTAAGTTAGGTTGAGGGCATTCAAGAAAGCATTGAAAGAATTTAGAAATTTACAATTGCAATTATAGCATTTTTAGAGGTGAGGTACAAAAAACCTTAGATTCCTATTTTAGCAAACAGTAGGAAGATTTCTTTTTTTTTTTTTTTTAAGATTTATTTATTTCGGCCCTCCCTGGTGGCGCAGTGGGTTAAAGCACTGCACTAAGAAGCTAAAGCCACTTCCACATGAGATTTATTTATTTCGGCCCTCCCTGGTGGCGCAGTGGGTTAAAGCACTGCACTAAGAAGCTAAAGCCACTTCCACATGAGTTCGATTCCGATTCCCGCCTGCCCCGGAGGTGACCACATGGCGAGGCAGACCTCTCCTGACCCGCCCGCTGCTCCCCTCAGCAGTGTACTTCGTCGATCTGCCTGTTTTGCTCCCCACTCTGTCACTGGTGAAGCCTCTCACCTTCTCACACCTCTGGCCTGTACCCCAGTTATGTATGCACAAATAAATACATCTTTATAAAAGAATAATAAAAAAAGATTTATTTATTTGTGCATTACAGAACTGGGGTACAGGCCAGAGGTCCTGGGGCAGTGAGAGGATTCACCAGAGACAGTAGGGAGCAGAAACAGGCTGACTGATGAAGAACACTGCTGAGGGGAGCAGTGGGTGGGTCAGGAGAGGTCTGCTGCACCAATGTGGATCACCCCTGGGCAGGCGGGGATGAACTCATGCAGAAGTGGCTTAAGCTTTTTAGTGCTGTGCTTTAACCTGCTGGCCACCAGGGAAGGCCAGGAAGAATTTTTTAAATAGAAATCATTCTTGCTTTGAATCCATTAATTTTTGACTTGTGGATGTATACTTTAAACATATTAACATTTTACAAAATGTTAGAATTTGTCTTTTTTTTCTCTTTTTTTATTTTATTTTATAAGTTAGAATTTGTCCTATTTAAAAAAGAACAGGAAGCCAAAAATTAGAGGGAATATTATCTTTCAGGTTAAAATTATGTGTTTAAATACCCCCTATATCCAATTAAATTTTTATTTTTCAGTTGATAGGTAGCAGTCATTTCTCATGTTTATGGTTGTTACTTAATAAATTACTATATAAATTTTTATTTTGAGATATTTTGCTTGTTTCTTAGAAATGTTGGTGCTGGTAAAGAAGTGATTTGAATTGTTGCTTAGCAATAAATAGCATGCTGAAATCCATCTTTGTTTTGTTTATAGCACATCTTCATTACCTCCGCTAGACTGGCCTTTACCAACTCATTTTGGACAATGTGAACTAAAAATAGAAGTGCAACCTAAAACTCATCATCGAGCCCATTATGAAACTGAGGGTAGCAGAGGAGCAGTAAAAGCATCGACAGGGGGACATCCTGTTGTGAAGGTATGAAATGAGGGGGGCGGGGCTTGTTTCACAGATACTGCATACTTAACAATAGCTCATATTCAGCTAGGCACTGTGCTCAGCCCAAAATAAGAAAATTCAGAAGTAGAAAGTCACTGTTTAGGTTTTGTTACCTTGTTAATAATGGCCAAGCTTCCTTGTCAAACTTATCTTTGCTAGGCTGAAAGATAATTTTTCCTGTACTAATACTCTAGCTGGAAAAATAATGGGAATAGATTATAAAACAGTTTTTCTTCTGCTTAAAAGAAAAAAAAAAACACAAAGATGACTATTATGTTTGCAAACTAGCACATGTTCATTTGAAATCCCTTTATATATTTAGTGGAAAACTGGGTATATGGTTAGAAAAATGAGTCTTTTAAGGTTAGGTTATAAAGATAATTTACACCTTTGAAATTAAATTATGTGTTTTTATTTTAATTTATTTGAATAAAATAAAACTAAAGTGAAATTGTAAAAATTATATAATATTTAAAAATGTATATGAAATATATTTGATAAATTTTGGATCATAGCAGTAGAATATTAACTTTAGTTTTACTTGAACATTTAAAATATAAACCAAAGTAAAACTAAAAGTAATAAATCTTGGATATTGTTCTTAATTCTAAGAGGCCCTAAAAGATCTTTCTATGGTCAAAGATACTAATAAATAAATCAAAAGATTGAATCATTGTTTCAGACTTAAATAGTGTGAATTTGACTCCCTCCTCTAAAAAATGAGATAAGTATATCTTTTAAACTTTTTCCCCCATTCCATTTTCTTCCTCCTAATTTTTGTTACATATATTATTTCTCCTTTCAGATGTACAGCTGTCCTTACTAGCTCCACTGTTACTTAGCCCTAGTACAATTTCTAGCTGGATTCAGTCAGTTCTGAAGACTATTTCTTTTTTTATGTATTTCTTTGTTTAAGGAGGTCTTTGGATTTTATATATTCCTTGGATCTTTTCATGTTTAAGAATGTTTGTTACCTTTATTTACCCAAATAACTGAATGGATAATTTACAATCATTTTCTCTCAGAACTTGCCTTATGGCATTGTGTTCAATCTGAAATGATTTTCAACAAATACAATTTATGAACTATCGTCTCTTATACTAACTAGGCTTTATGATTTATCATTGTTATCTAAGCACATGTCAGTTTTTGACAGATATTTACATTTCAAGTATTTTTAAAATAAATTGTGCAAAGAAGTGTCACTCATCAAAAAAAGAGATCTGGGGGCCCTTGGCGGCACAATGGGTCAGAACACAGCACCGCAAGCTGGCTGCAGCTGCTTCAGTGCAGGTTCTGCCCCGGAGATGATCCACATGGCATGGCAGACCTCTCCTGACCTCCCTGCTGCTCCTCTCAGCAGTGTACTCCATCTGTTCTGTTTTGTTCTCCGATCTGCCTGTTGTGTTACCCACTCTGTCTCTGGTGAAGCCTCTCACCACCCCTGCACCTCAGTTCTGTATGAATAAATAAATAAATCTTTAAAAAAAGAGAGAGAGGGCCCTCCCTGGTGGCACAGTCGGTTAAAAGCACAGCACTAAGAAGCTAAAGCCACTTCCGCATGAGTTTGATCCCCGCCTACCCCGGAGGAGATCCACATGATGTGCAGACCTGCCTGCTGCTCCCCTCAGCAGTGAACTTTGTCCATCTGCCTGTTCTGCTCCACACTGTCTCTGGTGAATCCTCTCACCCTCCCCATCTCTGGCCTGTTCCCCAGTTCCATATGAATAAATAAATGAGTCTTAAAAAAAAAGAGAGAGAGAGAGAGAGATCTGGGCCCTTCCTGGTGGGCGGATTGGAGTGCTGCACCACAAAGCTAAGCCATGCTGTGGCCACTTCAAGTGCGAGTGTGATCCCTGCCCCAGAGGTGACCCACATGACCCAGCAGACCTCTCCTGTCTCGCCCGCTGTTCCCCTCAGCAGTGTACTTTGTCTGTTGGCCTGTTACTTCTCCCCACTCAGTCTCTGGTGAAACCTCTGACCAATGCCCCATTTCTGTATGCATAAATAAATAAAATCTAAAAAGAAAAGAACTTAGTGCTTTAAAAAGAGAGAGAGAGAGAGATCTGTGTTACCAAAGGCTGTGGGTCGGGAATAGAAAAATTAGATGAATATGGTCCAGAACAGCATATACTTTCAGTTAAAAGGTAAATAAGACTACATCGTACAATACAACATGATGACTATTAGTTAATATTGCTTTATGGTACAGTTTTTGAAAGTTGCTAAGAGTAGATCCTAAATGTTTCATCACAAGGAAAAAACATGTTTCTGTTTTTTGGAGAGTTTTTTTTTTGTATAACTATGAGATGATGGATAGTAATTAAATTAATTTGTAACATATAAATCAAGTAATTTCACTACTTAATACCTTAAATTTACACAGTGCTCTATGTCAGTTATATCTCAATAAAAGTGAAAGGAAAACAACATAGGAACTCTGCCATGTGTTATTAGGTCATACTTTGCTCTTATGTGAGAGCTTATTTCATTTTGATTAAAGGGGCATAGTCTTTACTTCATTTTTTGTTTATTTGACTTTTCTAAGCAGAAGAGAAATTATTTACAAGTGTGTCAATGAACAAAAATCTTTTGGGAGTCCAAGTGATTGGTTTCCAAAATTTCCCTTTAATTAAAAACTGACTCCCAACAGAAGGAACACTACTATTTTATATTCTTCTTGTGAGTGATCTGTTTTCTGATTTATTCCTTGAAGAATTTTATAGAACTTGAAATTACAAATTACTGATTTAATCATACTATGAATCATACTATGCTTAGATGTGGGAGTTTATTCTTTCCCTATCCTTCTGATGTTCCCTTTTAATCTGAGATTCTTTCTTGCGTGGCACAAGAATGTTCTATATTATATATCTATATACATTTGTTATTTTGATTTTTTTCTTAGGGGCTCCAGTTTCTATTCAGATGTTTTGGGATTTGTTTTTAGAGATTTTATTTATTTATACATACAAGAACTGGGGTACAAGCCAGAGGTGCTGTGGGTAAGAGGCTTTACCAGAGACAGAGTGGGGAGCAAAACAGGCAGGAACGAAAATACACCTATGAAGGGATCTGCTGGCTGTTCAGGAGAGGTCTGCCAGGCCATGTGGGTCACTTCCCCAGTGGGGAATCAAACTGTGCTGCAGTGGCTGGGGATCGCTTCATAGTGCTGCACTTTAATCGCTTGCGCCACCAGGGAGGGCCCTGCTATTCAAATATTTACTTGTCTTTCAAAAAATGACCTATCTACTTTGTTTATCCTACATATCAGTGCTCTTTTTTTTTTTTTTTCCTTTTGGATACTTTGTTTTTTCTTACCATTTATTGTGATTTTTAAAAAATGACTTTTTTGACATGTATGTTGTCACTTACTGCTTCTAATTTAGCTTTTAAATCTACAATTATGTTTTGAATTAGACTTCCTACCTCCCTTTTCTACTCATTTGATATTATATTTTCTCTCATAATTTATTCCATAAATATTCTTAAATTTGTCACTGTGGAGTGTTCACCAGGAATCAGTTTCTGGCTTTGTGTGTGTGTGTGTGTGTGTGTGTGTGTACACGTGCTTTAGGTGGCTTAATATGTTACAGATGCTTTGTATCTTTTCTTAACCTAAAAATTAAGAAGAACTTGCTCCTATATAGGCATTATTTATTATTTTAAGATTCTTTTTTTTATGCATACAGAGCTGGCGTGCTGGCCGTAGGTGCCGGAGTGGTGGGTGTTGGGAGGATTCACCAGACGTGGAGTGGGGAGCAGAACAGGCAGATTGATCTAAATATACTGCTGCAAGGAGCAGTGGGCGAGGCAGGAGAGGTCTGCTGTGCCATGTGGACCAGGGATTGAACTCATGCTGCAGTGGCTAGAAATAGGTTGATAGTGCTGATTTTAAATTTACACGTAGTGTGATTAGCAGAAATCTTAACTCTGCTATTCCTCTACTACCCTATCATGTTTCCTCTTACTCTATAGTTACCTCACAATTTCAAAGTGCTTTTCATTCATAAACCTTTTAGAAATGCTGGCCTTTGACTATGTTTTGTTAAGCCCCTGAAAAAAAAAATCTTAGACCTTTACCATTTTTGTAGTTTGGTGGGTTAATTGCTATGACTAATAATATCTAGTTCTCAGGACAAAGAAAAAAAAAATGAAAAAGGAAGTTTATTTTTAACTTTCAGAATTTTATTCATGAATAAAAGACTGTCCATTTTCTGATGACATCATCTTCCATACACTGCCTCCCTGATCCCTGAGAAAAGGGAAGTGTATAGGGAAGGCACATAAAATATGTGAATCTGGAAAAGTACAGCTATTACCATGTACAGTTGCTCTAGCCAGGAGTAGTTGCATGCCCTATTTACATGCAAAAGGACTATGAAAATTCATCCCTGTTGGACAACCTTTCCTCAGCAACAGCTCTGTCTACTATGTTACCCAATTCTGTGCATAAATGTTTGTTGTCAGTGTGCCTTCTCTGCCACATTTGCTATAATGTATTTGTCTTTAACAACTTTAATAGTAGCTAAGTGACTAACAAGGTCTCTGCAGCCTCAGTCTTTGAATTCTGGGTTGTACTTGGTCCAACTAGTCCTTACCTTCTCTAAATCTTTTATTGAATCATTTATTGTTTTATTTACCAACTTATCCTTTCATTTATACAAAAAGTAATTTTTGTCAAAATACATAGACAATAGCATAGATGCTGGAAATCCAGAGATAAGCAAGACAGATAAGATCCTCATTCTCATAGGGTTTCTTGTGCAGTATACCAAAAGGGAAAATGAACAAGTGAACAAACAGACTAATATTAGGATATGTAAAGAGGCTAATTATGGAAAAGAAGTTTATCTCATTTCTTTTCTTTTTTTGTAAAATGGGGATAATAAATTTAGGTGCCAATGTGAGGACTAATGAAACACTGTATGTAGAAAGTGTTAATGTTAGCTAATGTTATATTTTAGTGTTTTGTTTTT